CTCTCTCTCTCTTTCCCTCTCTCTCTCTCTCTCTCTCTCTCTCTAGGTTTTTCAAGACAGGGTTTCTCTGTGGCTTTGGAGGCTGTCCTGGAACTAGCTCCTGTAGACCAGGCTGGTCTTGGACTTACAGAGATCCACCTGCCTCTGCCTCCCAAGTGCTGGGATTAAAGGCATGCACCACCAACACCCAGCTACCTTCTAGCTTTTCAAGTTAAGATGCTGAGTATTGCTTTTAATCCCACATCAACAGCTGTTAAGGAAAAGAGCTTCCATCCCTTTCTGTCACACTAGGGAACTGACTGACTTAACATATCTGGCTCTCCTCACTGGAACATGAGTTCCTGGGGCAGAGATTTCTGTCTACTCTGGTCACTGCTGGAATCTTACCCGTATTAATAAGTTACTTTTATCTGCACTGAAAGAAGCAATTTACAGGAGGAAGGATTTATTTTGGCTCACAGTTTAAGATGGCACAGTCTGTCATGGAGGGGAAACAACAGTGACAGTGGGAGTAGCCTGCAGCTAAAGTGGGAGAAATTATAACAGGACATTGTCAGAGGCATCAAGAAGCAAAGAACTCAGGAAGACCTGGAGACAGACGGTAAATCCTGCCCTATGGCTCGCTATCAGCCAGCTAGACCCCATGTCCAAAATGTTCCACAACCTCCCAAAACAGTGCCACTAGAAGAGGATCAAGTGCTCAAAAATTGGCTTGTGGATGATATTCATATTCAAACCAAAAACAGTGTCTGTCATATTTTTAAGTATCACAAGGCAATGAATGAGACATCCCAGGTTGCTACTGCGAAGAACTACAGACTAGACAGCTTCAAACAATTACCTTCTACCATTGTGGAGGCTCCAAGTCTATGAGTAAGATGTAGCCAGTGCTGATTTCTCCTGACACTTCTCTTCTTGACAGTAGACTGCAATCTGTTTTCTGTGTCTTCACATGGTCTTCACCTATGAGTCCTACTATCCTTCTCAAGAAGACACCAATTTCCTCACTGTACCTTAATTACCTCCTGTAAAATCTTATCTTCAAATACAGCCACATTCTGGGCACTAAAAGTTAGGATTTTGCTATGATCTAATGTTTGTGTACTTCTCAAATTCATATGCTGATTATCAAATCTCCAAAGTGTTGGCAGTAAACGATGAGGGTTTTGAAGTGTAACTAGATCTTGCAGTTAGTGTCCCTCATAAGAGGTGGAATTCCTTTGCCTCCTTCTGCCCTTCTACTATATAATGACACAGCAAGAAGACACCTTCATCGAGCCAGACAGCAAGCCCCTACCATATAAGTATGCTGAAACTCTGATCCTAAACTTCCCAGCCTTCCAGGGTGATAAATACCTGCTTTTATTAATTACCTAAGCTAAAGTATTTTTGCTACAGCGCCCAAACAAACTAAGAGAAGTTGGGAAGAGACAAGTCAGCCCACAAGACAGAAAGGAAGTCACAGTAACTTTCCTTCACAGTAACTCTTTAATATTACATGAAATATAGAATGTTTCAGTGAATGACTAAATACTCAGAGCATTGATTTTTAAACCTTTTTCAAGATAATAATCCATTAATTATACTGCACATTACCTGTCAACAAAGAGTCTTGTTCCACTCGAAGTTCACGAAAGAGAAGAACCAAATCAACGGCAACGCCAATTGTATCCAGGTTCCTGTATTAAATTTTAAGACAGAATTAAGCTAAATATATGCTCTTCTCTAATACTGAATTTCAAATGCTGATTTAATGTATAATGCTGAGACTACTGATCAACAGTTCCTACAGTGGGCAAAATAACAGCTTCCAGAAATGTGCACATCCTGATTACTAAAATCTATAATTATTACCTTATCTGGTAGAGACAACTTTGCACATAAGACCAAATCAGTAATCTTGAGATGGAAGGGTTGTCTTGAGTTATATGGAGGTTTACTGTACCACAAGGCTCCTTACAAAAGGAACACAAGAAAGTTGGAACCAAGAGAAAAGAGGCTATACGCCAAGAAAAGTGGTAGGCCTGAAAGTTGGCAAGCAAAGAAACTAATTCTGTCACAGAAGCCTCCAGAAGGAAGTACTATTCATGCCAATTTCTTATGAACTGCCAAACTCCAAAACTGTAAGTGTGTGCTGTTTAAGTTTTTGTTGTCACTGCAACAAAAGTAAAGTGACACAAATCTGAGTATCATTAGTGGGGTGCTGCTGTAACAATTACCTGAGAAGAAGGGTGAGACTTTGGTTAGTGGACAAAGGGTAAAAGACACATAACAAAAAAATCACAGTGCCTTAGACAGACTGCTGGTAGAAACACACACATGAAGGCACAGCTGGCAACATTTGGAAAGAAATGAGAACATGTTATTAGAGACTACAGAAATGGTGATCTTTGCTATGCAGTGCCAAGAGTCCTTGGACAGCATCCTACAGCTATAAGGAAAGGAAAGAAAAAAGAAATGCCTAAAACTGCCCCATGAACTGTGATCTTCTGCCTACTGTATTTGAGAAAAAGATACTTATTTCTAGTGTTACAGGTCCCAGAAAAAGTGGAACTTTGTCCCAAAATGGATCACCATCCAGAGTTTCATATGTAACTCAGGTAATTCGGAGGATTAGATGTGGGACTTCTAGGTTTCGAGACTTAGAGGGCATTCTGAACATAAGCTGATGTTATACTAGGTTTAGAATATCAAGACCTTGGGATAGCACAAAAATGTATTTTGAAAGCAACTGATGTGAATGTTTAAGATCAATGTGTGAGCTGGGATAGCAAAAGAATCTAAACTCCTTATCAGTTTTTTAAGTGACCTATATGGGCAAGAGACACAGTAATAGATGCAATCTGTAGTTGGTCTCAGTCCTGAGCACCTGGCACAGAGTTCCTAAAACACTTATACTTTCCTGAAAGACAGGATCACCTGATCACACCTGAGTTTTATGGTTTAAAAGTAACTCAGACACAGCTTCAGAATGGTGTACTGCTGCCAGAGGACCTAACCTGTAAACTTTCAGTCTCAGAGAGACAAGGGAGATGAAAACTGAATTCAACACCCACAATCAATGTTTTAAATCAACCATGGCCATATAATGAAAACTCCATTAAAAAACTAACACTGGAGTCTGGGGAGCCTGCAGGTTCCAGGAGGATGGCACACGCAGGGAGGACATGGAAATATCACTCCACCCTATATACCTTGTCCTATTCTTCTATTTGGATGTTCCTAGTACTATTCTTTATAATGAACCAGAAACCTACTTTCTTAAGTTCTGTGAATTGCTAAAACCGAGGGAACCTTATCATGGAACTCTCAACTTCTAGTCAGTCTTACAGAAATGGGGGTTGCCTGGGACCTGATTCTAGCTAGCATTCAAAGTCGCAACTGTTTAATCACAAAGAAGTGGCCCCAAAGTGGTAGTGCTGATAGCAATGCTTCAACCCCCACCTGAGCTTGAGGTTGCTAGGAAACATTAACCAAAAGCATTTCTCAGAAGCCCTTAACAGCTAACTGAATGCTCCTGGAGATGTCAGCACCTGAATACTTCTGACTATTCCTATAACACCTCCTCTATCTGAGCTGCTCTCCACATAACCCTATTTAACCCAGAAACTTTTATAGCTGGCTGCTGGTCTCTACTATCCCAAGCAACCAGTTTTCTTTTTTATTAAAACCATTCTTTCTATCCATGGAGAATGGCTGTTTCGGTGGTTTCTTGCTGCACCTACTTAGCAGGGGAAAAAGACTGTGTTCGGTGGTCTCTTTTGCTGTGCCTACTTACAACAGCCACCTAGGAGTGAGCCTTTTAAATTATGATAATTCCCATAGATAGTGTCAGAACAGGAGTGAGTTATCAAACATCCAGTTAGTATCAGTGATTCAGAATTAGTGTCAGCAATCACACAAGACTATTTGCATGTGATTAAATTAATGACCAATTCTGAGGTGGGGAGATTACACTAGGCAATCTATTTATTACAGGTCTTCGTGAGAGGGTCACAGGAAGTCAGAGCAGAAAGAGAATCTGTTAGACACTACACCATATCCTGATGGTGGAGGAGGAGTGTGAACCAAGGAAAGCAGAAGACCACTAGATAAGAAGAGACCTCTCCAAATCACAATTTAGTGTACGGGTTTTGTCTTGTGTGAGTCAGTCAAAGAAAGAAGTCACTCCAAAATGAATTTTGTTTAAGCCTGTGTGGCAGCCAGGAAGTCCAGCCTCTGATGGACTGAACCTTGAACAGCCCTTAAAAAGGCATATTTATTGATTGTTACACAAAGTTATTTTTTTTTGGGGGGGGGGGTTCCTCATACCAAGGTCCCTAATCTAATCTATATACTTCTGCAAAGGAAAGCATCACATCCTTGTTACTTTAGTCCTTATTGTGTACCATTTGCAGTGCCCAATAATCCAAGAGCTCCAGGTGTGCTGGAAGAGTCTTGTGACCAAAGTCATTCAAAGGCTATAACACTTCCTCAGAAAAACAATTATACACATCACAGAAAACAATCACTGTTTTCCACAATGAAATGATTTTTTCAGTCAAAGTACTTCTAGAAAACAACTATTCATTCTAATGTTTACCCTAGATACAATGACTCTGCTAGATTCCTATAACACCCAAGGATTAAAACAAGGTTCTGCAAGTGAAGCACCTCACACCATGCCTTTCCTACCTGCTGAGGCCAGCACAGCAAAGATGCCATGTGCAGGCTTTGTTCTGGGCTTCCCATGCTTCCCCACCTGGGACAGTACAGAAGAAACTGGTACTCTGGCCAATGTTTCCGGAACATAACGTTATGTTTTAAAATACTGATAATGGGGCTGGATAGATGGCTTAGCAGTTAAGAGCACTTGCTGCTCTTCTACAGGATATAAGTTCAGTTCTCCACACCCACTAGCTCCAGCTCCAGAGGATCCCATACTCCCATCTGGACTCCATGGGCACCCATAATACACATGTAGTAGACACACTGACACAAAAATAAAAAAACAATCTTTAATAATGTTTTGAAATTTAATTAGTTTTTAAAAAAGCAAAGTATTAACTATTATTAGCAAGATGATTGTTACTTCTATCCATTTTCTGTAAAGAGATGGCAGGTTTGTTTTAGCACTGATGTTAAGACAACTCCAGCTTTTCTTCCTTTCCTTTCATCTTAAAAATCTCATTAATCATCTTAAAGCCTCAGGTCTAAGACTGTCTAAGCAGCCAAGGGAATCAAATGTCTCCTGGACCAGCTCAACTTCACCCATCACAGCAGTGATGGAGAGGCCTTGAGGCCCTGTTTAGATGTACATCAGGAAGGAAAGGTGAGCATCTGCTTGGGGCTTCTGACTTCAAGTAAAATATTCTAAAAAAGAAAAATTAATAAGAAGTTTGTTCTATAAAAAGCAAGAGAGAAAGCCAGGCATGGTGGCATATGCCTTTAGTCCCAGCACTCGGGAGGCAGAGGCAGGCAGATCTCTGAGTTGGAGGCCAGCCTGGTCTACAGAGTAAGTACCAGGATATCCAGGGCTACACAGAGAAACCCTGTCTAAGGAAGAAAAAAAGAAAAAGAAAAAGAAAAAGAAAAAAAAGCAAGGGAAGGGAAAGTGCTGGGCTCTAGGCGTGAGATCTGCACAAAGGAAAGAGCAGCAGAGAACATCCTATGCTCAGTACTTAACACTACTCAAAAACAGGCACAGCTAAGACAGACAGAAAGTGCCCTGAGCTTTAGAGTCTTAGACACATAGTCTCAGGAACTTATGAAATAGTCCTGCTCAATGTAAATACAGAGCAATTGAAACATTTACAGTTAAAAGGAGACCAAGAACTACAGGTGAACTTGGGCAGGCCAAACCTAGAAATATGGAACCAATGCCAAATTCAAATCACTCATATGAAATATCAAATTCTTCAAAATAAGTTACAAATTGCAAACAAAAAAGCTGAATAATTCCTCTTGTTAAACAAGAGACTACAAGAAATAAAGAATGTTTCCCTGTAAAGGCATTACCAACAGGTAATACTATAAAGCCAAAACATTACCACCACATAAGAAACACTCAGAGGCTTATGTGTCACTACCTGATTGAATTCTGGTTCACAGAGCACTCTATACAAGCATTCCGAAGACATCTGAAACATTCTGTGATTAGCTGAAGACTGGAAGCCAGGTGCTCCACTTGGGAAGGGTCCCTGCAGGCCAGCTCAACAGCGTGAGTAGATTTCTTTAAGATATCCAAGACTCTCTGGAAGATCGTTCTGGGTGCTGTTTCCCTGGAAGAAGATAAAGTTGTTATAAACTGGGCAGGTGGGAGGCGGGATTGGGGGGAGGGGCACTGGACTGACTGACTTACAAATGCCCCCATCCCCAAACTGCTTTACCTACTCCAGAGGCAGGAGGAGCTAGATTTGTCTATTCCAGCTCCTTCATTATGAAACACATGTTATGAACTGCAGTGCAGAGTGTGTAGCTACTATGTGTGGGGCACTGCTGGTAGTGCTTACGTGTGTTTGCTCACTCTACCACAGAAATAATCCTAAAATCAACACTGTCCTCTCCATTTTATAGGCCATGTAAGACAAAGAGCTGCTTGCCTACATCACCTAGCCAATGAATGCCAGAGTCACAATTCCAATTGAAGTTCTCTGATTCCAGTATTTGCATTCTCCAGGACAATCCAAATACAGTCAGATGAACTCTCTTGCTTATGGATCTGCCACTACTCATTGTGGACCTTGTACTGGGCTATGGGAAACAATATTCCAGAAGGGCTATATAGAGGACAAAAGAGCATGTCACTCTTCTCTTTAGATCCCAAGAAGCCAGCAACAACCACACCAAACTTTACATAAGAAACTGCAAGTGAGAGGGAGGGAAAGAGGAAACAGAAGAGGGTTTGTAGTGTGCCAGCTCCCCTATGAGGATGAATGCCCAGCAGCAAGATGACCTACAGCTGTGCTCTCTCTCAGTCACCTCAGTCTTCCCTCATGCCAGAAGTATAGCCTACTATCATTTTTTTGGTGCAGTTTGGTACCTAAATGAAAGCCAATTTCCTCATTCCATAAATCCCCTAAAGAAACAGCAATCTGCTTTTAAAGATAGAAGAGCCGGGCGTTGGTGGCACACGCCTTTAATCCCAGCACTCGGGAGGTAGAGGCAGGTGGATCTCTG